GATATCGCTAGCTCCGGGACGTCGGGCTAGCAATTTTGCGAGCCCTGAGCAATCAAGTCCAACACAATCAATCATTGAATGTCTCTTGGCTATCTTAAGTCTGAGATCATATTAGTGGACACTTGAAATGGTCTTGTTTCAAATAGTAATGGATTTAGAATAATTTAGAACTCGACTTGACTTTCTTGGACTTCAGTTGGACTAAAACAACTCGAGACTAATCTCAAATGGCCTAACTTGATATTTACTCTGTTCCACTTTGAGACACTGACTTTCTTTGTCTTGTGCCTGTCTCTTCCAGAGAATGGGCAACAGATGAAGGCAGTAGTTCAGTGGTTCATGCGTGTGTCTGAATTGCCTGTCAACAAACTGAAATTGCTTGGCAGAGAGCCTCATCCGCAGGAGATCTTCTACTATGAATGTCGTAATTGTGATAATGAGGTCAACATCGAGTCCATCCTCAGGCCTGTGAAGGTGAGCTTCATTTAAATCACAAATGCTTTAAAGTCAAATGCGAAAATGTTTAATTTCCTTCCTTTATCTCCAAGGTGAAGCACCTCGACAGCAATGACCCGTTCCCTGACTCCTCTGACAAAGATACCCTGTACGTGAAGTTGTCCTGGGACTCCAAGGTCTTCAGGGTGGTGAACTCGACCGTGATGGAGTCTCCCGCTGAGCCAGCACCTGCTTCTTCACCTCCTTCCTGTCTTAAACCCTCCCTCCCGATATCACCTTCTTGCTCCCAGTCTGCAGCCACCCCCAGAGGACCCTCTCGGTGTGTCCTACCCACACCGGACCACGCCATAATGCAGAAGGCGTCATTAGGGGAAGTTGGCTGCAGCAGTGTAGGTACACCTGCCAATGTCGAGGCTGAGTCACTTCACTCGGCCACTAAACTGTCAGCGTCAAAATGCCTCAGTGCCAAGAGGAGGAATGCCACGGCCAGGACGCCTGGTGTCCGAAAGAGACTGGAGCTCAGCGGTGAGTGTTCGCACAAGGATTTTAAAATGCAACCACTTTGTCGTACCAGAGAACAACAGGGCTTTTTATATATCTCTAATACCAAAAGTCGTGAAGTTTGATTAAAACCAGAA